CCGGTCCTATTATTTTCGACCGGGACCGGGACCGAGACCGGGACCGGTTACGCCGGGACCGGTTATGGCCGGTTATGAGAAATGTGAGGACCGATTGGGACCGGCCCGGGACCGGTTTTTGGCCATCTCTACTTGAGACAGACATGTGAAATTACAAAAGATATCCAACTGTGGATTGAGATGGGAGATGGTAAAGAACAAAAATGTAACTTATTAATGGAGAAGAAGAAACCATGAAGAAGAAGGGAAAATGTAAAGGTGGAAGATTGAAGGTTTTGCTTTGAAAAAAAAATGGAAAAAATGAGAAAAAAGAAAGGTAGGAAAGCTCTTTTGAGGTGATAACACGTCAGCGGTCCATGTTTCTGCTTTATATAGATATATAGAATATATAGATTGTTTCTAAGCATCTCTGTGATGTCACTACATACGTCAATTTGTATATAACTCCACACGCATAACCAAAATATTTTTATGCATAACATACTTGTAATACTAAACATGTCAGCCATATTTATTTAAGGCCTCAAATTGCATTAACTAAAATTATGCAGCATGTTCCATTCCAAACCAAATATTTCAAATCCTATAAACCGAATATATTACGGTTCCATTTTGTTTGAAGGAATGAAATGGATTTGAGGGGATTTGTATTTCAAATCCATTCCAATCCCATGTTTGGTTTGTTGGATTGTTTGGATTTGAAATCCTAGGATTTAATTGAAATCATTCAAACATGAGATTTTGAAATCCTTAGGGAGTGCTCTAGATTTCGTAGGATTATATGCAATAAGGTTTTAATTTTTTTAAAACATTTGTTTTGTAATAATTGATTAATAAAAACCAAACACACCAATAATTTCAAATCTATTCCAATTCAAATCCCTCAAAAAACAATTATGCAAACCAAACGGACCTTGAATATTCCAAATGTTTCTAAACCTAAATCCTTTCACAAAATCTAAATCCCTCGAAACCGTTCCAGCAAACCAAATACCTCTTAAATCCCCGATGGCCCCAAGGGCTTTAACAATGCTTGTATTTTAACTCGGGATAAGTGAAATTATCCTTTACACAATTTTCTTACGTTTTTGGCCCTCAACTGAATTTACAATTCATATATATATATATATATATATATTATATATATATATATAGACTTGGGATCATGTGAGACCAGCCTGCTTTCGTGAGACCCGTGAGACCAACATTTTACACTTGAAACTTCACAGCAAAATGCTGTGAAGGTGACTTTTTAAAACCTTCACAGTGTTTTTGYTGTGAAGGTTCGACTTTTTTTAAACCTTCACAGTGTTTTTGCTGTGAAGGTTACATGTAAAAATGTGGTCTCACGGGTCTCACGAAAACAGGCTGGTCTCACGTGAACCCAACCCTATATATATATATATTATATATATATATATATTATATATATATATATATATATATATGGGGGATGGTTCAAATGCTAACCAAGATTATCGTGTTAACTGATCTTGATTGTTAATTTGAATAATAAACGGTTGTGATTTAATGATGTTTAAAAATTAATTATTAAATTAATATTTTCAATTAACATATGTGAACAAAATATCAAAGGGTATTTAAGTAAAAAATAATCTATCTTTAATACACGAGTTGTCAGACATATGAACAACTTGTGTATATCTTCAAACCACATCAAACAAAAAAATTAGACATATGAACAACATGTGAACCGTATGAACATCTTCTGTATATCCAGGAACCAACTCTGATGTATGTACATGAACACCTATGAACCAAAGCATCTAGGGCTGTGTGTTTTCATGCGTGTTCACATGTTTTGTGTGTGTGTGTGTGTGTATTCATATGAACATCTAGTGACTTGAATATACATGAACGTTTATGAATCACAACATCTAAGGCTGTGTGATTTCTGATATGTTCATATGTCAAAAGGTTAGAACTGTCGATTAAAATAAATGTGAATTATAGAACATAAACACTTGTGAAACCCCACTGTCAATATTGCATCATGATCAATTGTAATATTTTCAAATTTGTAACTCCTAATTAATTATTTGAGAGTCACATAAAATGACAAATTACTTAAAAACCCTTGTATTTAATATATGAGTTACATTTGAACCAAAGGAAAAGATGGAATATGATTGGTTGAGCTTGGTTAAAATAGTTAACCCAAAAAAATTGGTTAGTATTTGAACCAAGCTCTCTCTCTCTCTCTCTCTCTCTCTATATATATATATATATATATAGGGTTGGGTTCACGTGAGACCAAAGGTTTTTCGTGAGACCCGTAAGACCAATTTATGTTCATTTTTGATTAACTTTATATGCTAATGGTCTAAAGTTGTACGGTGGCAATTTTGTGATTATTGAGATGTTTCGTGGCAATTTTATGATTATGAATGTTCAGATTATAGATCTAATCGAATGTTTGAGAATTGGTCTTACGAGTCTCACGAAAAACCTTTGGAGTTTGGTCTCACATGATCCCAAATGTATATATATACACACACACACGCTTGGGATCATGTGAGACCAAAGGTTTTTCGTGAGACCCGTAAGACCAATTCTCAACCCTTCGATTAAATCTGACAATTTTAACATTCATAAATGCCACGAGACTTCTCGATAATTACAAAATTGTCACCATGTAACTTTACATCATTAGATCATTAGCTTATAAAGTTGATCAATGAACATAAATTGGTCTTTACGGGTCTCATGAAAAATCATTGGTTTCACGTGAACCCAACCATATATATATATATATATATATATATATATATATATAGGGGCTCGTTCAAGGTAGAACTGATTAGTTTGTGGTAACTGTGAGATCCAATCTCAACCACAAATCAACGGATAAATTAAAAAATTAATTATTATGGTAATTTGAGTTAAAATTATAATTAGAGGACATTTTAAGTATTTTTTAAAAACTCCTCTCTGCTCTCTCTTCTCTCATCTCTCCGGCCTCCAATCTTCGGCCTCCGGTGAACATTAATCCCGTAGGTACCAAGTAATCACAAAGATACACAATGTGATACCCATTGTGATATACTGTGATACCAACTCAAACCTTAAAAACAAAAGATACACAATGTGATACCCATTGTGATATATTGTGATACCGATTTCACCGGAGGCCGGAGATTGGAGGTCGATAGATGAGAGAGGAGAGAGGAGAGAAAAGTTTTTAAAAAAAAATACTTAATATGTCCTCTAATTATAATTTTAACTCAAACTACCATAATTATTAATTTAGTAATTTATCCGTTGATTTGTGGTTGAGATTGAACCTCACAGTTACCACAAACTAATCAGTTCTCATTTGATTATGCCCACACACACACACATATATATATATATATAGAGAGAGAGAGAGAGAGAGTTTGTTTCAGATACAACCCGTCGCATTTATACAATCAATACAACCCAATAAATTGAGATATTTATGAAAATTAATGATGAGAGTTCATTTATTATGATTTGAATATTTATGGAAGATGAATATAGTTCATTAATTATGTTCAATACTTTATATTAGGAAATAATCAAAATTTTTATAAAATCACATATTAATCAAAAGAAATTGACGGTTGAGATTGGGTTGTATTGGTTACACAAATGTGAAGGGTTGTATAATAACCAACCTATATATATATATACTTGTGAAAAAAGGAAACGAATTTATGGATCAAATAATTCATGGTACCAGATTTATTTATGTTAACTAATTTGATTAAAATGACCAAGTAAATGATTCCTAATTATAGACGTTGAACAATTTGATCAACACAACACAAGCCCCCCTCTTTTTCTGCTCAACCTCCCAAATCCTTTTTATGTAAAACTTTTTATCTTCCTTCCACCATGCAAAACACCATTCCATCCACCACCATCGTCTCAACCCGCCACCTTCCGGCCCCCCGTACTCCGCCTCTCGTTACGTCATGGAGGGGCGGGAGTATTCTTCCCATGGTAACACCGATCGTGCCTATAACAACCACCACATTCAACCACCATCCTCCGATGACGAAGAGGAGTCCGATCTCCTGCCAGAACACAACAGCACCTACGTCATCCAAGTCCCCAAAGACCAAATCTACCGCATCCCACCCCCGGAAAACGCCATTGTTGCCGAACGTTACCGCATCACCGTCCCCGAGAGAAAGTCTTGTATAACTTGGAGCTGCATCATGACTTTTGTTCTCATGGTTTTGCTCTTTATCGGCTTCATAACCTGTATAAGTTTAGCGGTTGCCGATAAACAAGACCCCGGGTTCCGAGTCCGCCATATCCGTGTGACCACGAAAGGTAAAGGCCAGAAGAAAGAGCACGAGTTTCACTTCACGTTGAGGTCGAAAAACGAGAACGATCGTGCGGACATATACTTTCTGAAAGGTGGCCGGAGTTCTTTAACTTTTAGGGAAAGAACGATCGCGAAAGGTAGGTTTCCGGCGATGGAACAAGATAGTGATAGTTTGGAGAATTTGAAGTTGAAGCTAATAAGTGGTTCGGAAAAGAAGTTACCAATGGAGATAAAGAAGAGCTTGAATGGCACATTTCACCGGCCGATCAAATTGACGTTAAAGTTTGAGGCTCCGGTGAGATTTCAGGTTGGGGCATTTCCGGTGAAGGACAAGAAGTTATCGATTGTGTGTAATTTAAAGGTCAACAAGTTGACCAAGAATGCACGTGTTTTGTCTCAAGATTGTGATTATGCAACTTATTAATTAGCTTAATTATTAATCTATGTATTCATAAATCATTTCTTGTGGTGGAAATTTTAAGTGTTTGTTTTTTTTAATTCCATTTATTTTTTTTCCTAAGCTCACAATTTATTCTCTCATATATATATATAAAATATATATATTATATATATAGAGAGAGAGAGAGAGCGCTTGGTTCAAATACTAACCAAGATTTTTGTGTTAACTTTGTTAACCAAGCTCAACCAATCATATTTCATCTTTTCTTTAGGTTCACATATAACTCATATATTAATGACAAAGATAATTAAGTAATTTGTCATTTATGTAACTCTCAAATCATTAATTGGGAGTTACAAATCTAAAAATCTCAATAATTGATGATTATGTAATACTGATTTTTTTTATACGTGTTCATGTTTTGTGATTTCGGTTAATTCTATCCATAATGATATTGATTTTGTAATTGTTAAAGAATTTCCGATTGTAAAGATTTCGATATCGTCCGAGTAATATGGATAAACCTATTGAAAAACAGATCGACAACAATGAGAATGAAAAAGTTAAAATCATCTACTACTACAATCGGAATTCGAATTCATATGTAATTGTTAAAGAATTGTTCACAAGTGTTCATATTGTGTTCATATGTACACTAGCTGCATATCTCAACATTGGCTTGCTTCTGAATGTGTTTATAATGAAGGAACTATTATTCATACAACTGTTCATATTGTGTTCATAGATACACTAGCTGCATATCTCAACATTGGCTTGCTCCAGAATGTGTTCATAATGAAGGAACTATTGTTCACAAACTGTTTATATTGTGTTCATACCTGTTTTTTTATTTATTTACTTTCGTGTAGCAATTATTCTTATTATATTCATATTGTGTTCATAATATGCAGTCCAAGTTCATATATATGTCAATTTTTGTTCGTATTTGACACAATGGTTCATATATATATATATATATATATATATATATGTGTGTGTGTATGTGTGTGTGTGTGTATGTTCATATGGTTCTTACATTAAACAAAAATAAATTAATAAAAATAATGAGATTTTTGATTTTGTAACTCTCAATTATTGATATGGGAGTTACATAAAAAAGAAAATTACTTAAATATTTTTTTCCTCTTTATTGACATATGTTCTTTGAAATTGTAAATTTAAAAATTTAATTTTTTTATCATGATTAATCACAGCCCTTTATTGAAATAATCAATGGCCAAGATTGGTTAACAAAGTTAACACAATAATCTTGGTTAACATTTGAACCAACCCCTATATATATATATGTGTGTGTGTGTGTGTGTGTGTGCGAGCTTAATCAAATAAGAACTATTTTGTTTATAGTAAGCATAAGATCTAATCTCAACCAATCATTTTAATATATATATATATATATATATATATATATATATATATATCACAGACATTATTACATGAATCTTTTATGATTAATACCAAATTTCACATCAATATTGTAAAAATTGGTGCAAAATTCGGTGTAACCAATAAATTTATTAGTATAATTGGTAACTTTAAATTTTACATATAAGATTAAGTATTTTTAATTTTATACTTTATCATTGGTGTAAAATGTAAATGAACGGACTTATATAAAATTTGGTGTATTATTATTTATTACACCAAGATTTTGATATCAAATTTGAAAGATTTGATCTTCTCATTGAAAAATGGTCTTAGGAGCCGTTTATCAAACATTTCACTGGTAAGCACTTACCGGTAAAATTCAACATTATCATTTACTTACTGCATAAGATTTTAGTTCACAAAAACGAAATTGTATGCAACAATTTTCCTGGTAAGCGCCTACCGTTGTAAAAGTCACCTTCCTCACTTACCGGGTAAGACTCTTGTCCTTGCCTCGCTCTTACCGGATAAAATTCTTAGTCTATACCATATTCATCCGGTAAGGTAATGTGATTTGGTAAGCTCTTACCCATGTAAGCATTTGATAAATGATCCCTTAATTTATATATATTTTTTAATTGTATAAACCAGATTCTTCGATCAATCCTTTAATTTAAATTATTGTTCCTTTTTGATAATATAAACGAGAGCTATGACCAATAATCTAATATAACATAATAAAAATAGTTATTAAAATAGTAATTTAAAAAAAAAACCCAATTGTTCTTCCAAAATGTTGAAGCGATTCTTAGGTTTATAAATTCACAGTTGCAGATTCTTTTAATTAAGCCAAATTAACTAATGACTTAATCATTAAGTATATTATTATAATACCCTGTATTTGGTAAATCTAATCTCTCGATCAAGAATCAATTTTGTTCAAGTGTGAAATTGTGCTTAAGTGTTTCATATCTTAGTCTGTAAGAGTCGTTTATTAGGCCTAGTTATTTTCATAAAATTCATCTAAGTTCTAGGTTGGTTAGAACAATCTTGGTTAGGACCAAGATTGTAAAGGATATTGCCAAAGTTCGATTATATTGCAACTAAGCTTAAGATCAAGGGTTAGATAGTAAATATTGTAACTATATATAGGAAATTGTTATTTTTCTTATAAAAAAATCAGGCTTCTTCCTCTCTTTAACTCGATCTCTCCTACCTCTCTCTAAAAAATTCCTTATCTCATCTCTTTAAACCTAGGAATTTCTTGTTAAATCTTTGAGTTTTTGAAGAATTGATGTTATAATTGGAACTAGGAACTCAAGATAAGGTATGTCTATAGTTTATTTTTCTGATTTCTTCTTCTTTAGGGAAATGGTTAAACCCTAAGTTGATTCATGATTCATAGGTTAAAAATTGAAGATTGATGAAATTTCTTCAAGTTGGTGCTGTTAGAGGAGGCAGATTCGTTTCTGTGAGTTTGAAAATTCATATAAAATCAACCGTTTATTTGATTGATGCGTTCTTTATATCGTTAGAAAGGTGTTTGAGTTATCTACAACTTTGTAGTTTACTGAGAAACCTAATTCGAACCACACATGGCTTGAAATCTTTGATTTTCCAGACCATGTCTACAGCCACTCGAAATTGCACTCTGTTTGTATAAATTCTATATAAAATAGACCAGAACTCCAACTTATGTGAATCCAATTGGTGTGAAATCCTAAGCGGTATATGTACAACTTTCTTTTTTATAAGAAAGTTTGGTTCAGCCTTTAAGTGTGAGAAAAAGGATTAAACTTTTGGTATACATAACCTGTTAGCTTCTGTTTGGCTTGTGTAAATTTGATTTTAGCAAATGTTGTCTTTAGTCCTAGGCATTGTGTTATATGTTTACCAAAGAAATATATATTCATATACATCTGGGTCCTTTAGTACAAGAATCTACCATCATGACCAAATACAAGGTCCAAAAATTTAACATACATATCTTGTACTAAACAACAAAACTAATCATCAAAAGCAAATCTGCAGCCGAATGCATATAAGAAAAGCATTAAATCTTTTCCTTTCCTTTACCTTCTATACTTCCTGCAATACACATTTTAAAATCACAAAAACGAGGGTTAGACTAAAGAGTCTAGTGAGTTACCCTAATCATGTAATTGCAGGGTGAAGGATCACCAAATCCTTTATAAAACAATTATTCACATATATCACAAATATATGAATACGTAAGAAGGTAATATCAAATCTTTTTCCACTTTCAAGCTAATCATGTAGCTATACAAATCCCAAACCTCTGAACCAATCGAGTTCCATTTAATATCATTTCAAACCTTATCTTATCAAAAGAGGTTTAAACAAATATTCAGGCCAAACCTGACGTTTCCTTCTCAATAACATCCAGACTATGATTTCCAATAAGAACATTGATCCTAAATCCTTAAATCACAAAGAAATAAAGATTCCAGACCACGGTAGTCTTAAGGGATATAATAGAAAGTGTTATATAATATTACACACAGACAATGACACCCTTATAACAAATGGACACCTCTCATTGATATGACACCCTTATATCAAATGGACACCTCTCCTTGATATGCCACCCTTATAACAAATGAACACCTCTCCTTGATATGCCACCCTTATATCAAATGGACACCTTTCCTTGATATGCCACCCTTATCACTTCATCAAAAATATTTATAAAATAATTCCGAATAGACCGCAGTCATTGGAATTATTATCAGTCTGAAAACATTTATATCAAAACTTCATTTTYAATATAAAATAACAATTTCTTTCAAAAATTTAAAACATCATCATAAATCCGGTCAACAAGTCCGGTCAACAAATCCGGTTAACAAATCCGGTCAACAACCATCCGGTTTAAACACTTGGACTAAAGTCCACTTTGTCCGGATATCAAGTCCGGTCAACACATCACACATTTGTTGAACGGTTTAACATTTAACAATTTCACATCTTGAACGGATAACAAATCTGGACAACAGTCCGTTCAAGACTCACCCGGTTTAAGACTAAACCGCTCACCACATGGTCGTATTCCTACTTCTCAGTTTAAAATCATAAATAATACTATCATTCATAAACCGCTCAACAATTACCCGGTTTACCAACTCCGGATAACAAACCGCTCATGGCTTGTCCGGTTTAAACTTGTCCGGTCAATAAACTGCTTAAGGCTTATCCAGTTTAAGAACAATCCGGACAATAAACCGCCTAAGGCTTGTCCGGTTTAAATGCTTATCCGGTCACCCTTTGTCCGGATAAACACTTAGATAATAAAATCATGGTTTCTTTCCAATAAGAACGATACGAAACATGCAATTGAAACCAGTAGAATCTTTATACAAAAAGGTTTAGAAACCACTCACCTTGTAAAACTTTTAAAACCAAACTGCTAGAAACCGATCCCTTTTGAAACTTGACACTTGAAATCACCTCCTTTCTCTAAACCGGACAACACTTCTTTAAAAAGCTCTCAACTTACTCAAAAATAGCAGGGAAACTAAATGAGGAGGTGAAGCCCCCCTTTTATACCTTCCAAAAATGGAAAGGTCGGTTTAAAACCGCCTTCCATACCCCTCCACCTCATGCATGAATCATGCATACACATACATACATCCATGCATATAATAATCATATATATATATATATATATATATATATATATATTCAATTAATTCACAAATTCTCATACCGGCATGTATCAATTATCATGCTATCACGTACTTATTAAATCAGATAATCACGTATTTAAATACTTAATTATTATCCTTATAAAAAATTATATTATTAAATCAAAAATAAATTATTTTGTTATTAAATCTAATTTAAATTATAATAAAATAATTGATTTAAAGAAATTACACAAAAAACGAGAATTTTTAAATAGTTAATTTGATACTAATAATGATATATTTATTTTCAAAATTTTATAATATCTTCAAATTTATATTTCCTTCAAAAATAAAAACATTATCTTTTTCTCAAACCCACATAAACACCACATTATAACATCTACAAAGACGGAATAAAACAAAACACTAAAATCGAGATATATCTCGTTACATCGCGCAAGTATCTTCTTAGTAATTGAAAGAAGAATGCATCACATAACGGAAAGTGGGTCCTCTTCTCGACCTATTTCCGTATTTTGGACCCAGTTATAAATCGGCCACAACACCACCATTACAACTTTGTTTAAAGCTTGGATACGATCAAAAATCGACTTAAATGAGTGTTTTATATATAATTTAATCATCCATTTCTATCTTCTAACTTAAATGAGTGCTGTGGATTTGGGCAGCGGGAAGGAGATCGCCGGAGGGGGAACATTAGTGTCCATCATTAGGATCCTTGTTCACATGGATAGGCATGGCAACGGGGTGGGGATGGGGCAGGTTTTTTAATCCCCGGCCCCGGTTTGTAGTAACGTTTCCCGGCCCAGGCCCCGGTCCCCGGCGGGTACGAGGATTATTATCCCGTCCCCGGTCAAATCTCTAGCAATCCCCGGTCAAACCCCATAAATAGTATCATTTAGTTTGATTCTACCGGAGATCCCTGGCCCCGGTTTGAGTAACTGTAACGCCCCAACCCACACATTGCATGTAATACATATTTCATACAAAGGAAATACATAATATCATTCCATTCGGGTCCCTTAGTACAAGAATCTAACATGACCAGATACAAGGTCCAAAAATTCAAAATACATTTCTTGTACTGATTAATCAAAACAGATCTTCAAGCAGAAGCGCATAAAGGAAAATATTACACCTTCCCCTTCCCCTTACTGTTTGAACCTCCTGCAACACATAATTTAAATCACAAAACAAGGGTTAGACCGAAAGGTCTAGTGAGATACCCTATTTATGTTATTGCATGGTGAAAAATCACCAAAACCTTTAGGGAAAAATATCATTTCATATATATAACAAATATATGAATAAATAGAAACGTCATACCGAATCTTTTCCATTATCAAGCAAAGCGTTCTGCTTATTCAATTCCCAAAACTCTGAACCAATCAAGTTCCACATAATGCCACTTTTAAACCTTTTCTTAACCAAACAAGGTTATTTAAAGCTTCAAGCCAAACCTAATATTTTCTCCTCAATAACATCCAAACTATGATTTCCAATAAGAACCTTGATCMTAAATCTTTAAGTCACAAAGAAATAAAGACTCCGGACCACGGTAATCTTAAAGGATATAATAGAATGAGTTATATCATACAACACACATGCAATTGCCACCCTTATATCCCATGGTACACCTCTCCTTGATATGCCACCCTTATCCCATGGTACACCTCTCCTTGATATGCCACCCTTATCCCATGATACACCTCTTCTTGATATGTCACCCTTATTTCCTCATCAAAACTTTTCATAAAACAATTCCAAATAGACCGCAGCCATTAGAATTATTATTAATCCAAAATTATTTATTTCAAAACTTCCTTTTTATGATAAAATAACATTTTCATCAAAAATACAACATTACATCAAATCCGGTCAATCTTGACTTAGCCAAATCTCTATTTGATAGGGCTTCTTCCTATACCTATGAATTCCATTGGACCCAGAAATTGGTAAAGCGGTCATACTTCCTTCACCTCCAAGTGTGCCTGTTCCCCCCTTCTTGAATAAAAATTAATAGAATATGATAAAATATAAGAAAATAGTCGGACTTTAAATCCGGTCAACTATCCAGACAACACAGCCTAAGTTTTGTCCGATTTAACACTTGAACAAATTTCAACTTTGTCCGGATAACAAATCCGGTCAATACTCCGCATTAAGCTTGAACGATTTATCACTTAGAATATAAACCATCTTTGTCCGGATAACATGTCCGGTCAATACCCCGCTCTTTACTTAGCCGATTTAAAGTAATCCGGCCACTATTTGGTCGTATTCTTACTTCTCAGTTTAAAAAGAAAACTTTTCTTACCAATCATAACCCGATCAATACTTAACCGATTTAAAACAATCCGGACAATACATCGATTAACCTTTGTCCGATTTAAAATAGTCCGGACAACACATCGTCCATCCTTTGTCCGATTTAAAGTAATTCGGTCAAACCTTGTCCGCTTTAATATCCGGATAAACACTTAGAGCAAAAAGACTGATTTCTATCAAATTCAAATAAAATTTATATGAAACTATTAATAATCTTTATACAAAAGAGTTTTAGAAACTACTCACCTTATGAAATCAGATGAGATTCAATCTTCTTGAAATCAAGCACTTGCAATTCGGTCAACCTCACTTTAAACTTTTACATACATCTTCAAAAATGGCCAGGAAAAGAGATATGAGGGTCTCACCCTCATATTTATACTTTCTAAATAAGGTAAGGCGGCTAAACCGCCCTTACCATACATGCATGCATATACTCATACCCATGACCTCCATATATATATATATATGCACAAAATTTCACATACCAGCATGATCAAATATATCAATTTATCATGCTATCACGTAATCATTTAATCAGATAATCACATAATAATTACCTTGGGTGATGACCAGAATCCGGTTATCACAGTAACATCCCCCATCCGCGGTTTGAATCTACCAGGGATCCCCGGCCCCGGGACCTGTTTTAGCAGGGAATCCCCGTCCCCATTCGGGTCGGGTGAACCAAGTTCCAACGGGTCGGAACAAATCACCATCCCTACACATGGAGAGATTCAGCAATCAGGTCATATTCAGACAATTGAATTCCCTAAGATAGACATTGAGCTATCTTAAGTTTAATACTAACGTTTAGTGTTTTTTCTCTTGATAGAAGGGGCCACTTCTCTCTATATAAGAAAAAGCATGTTCTTATTTAACTATGAAATATATTATGTCAAAGAAAACTATGAAAAATATATGTAATATTATTTTTCCAGAAAATTTAAAGTTAGAATTATATTGCCAAAATAATGTTTTATTTTGTAATCTAATAAAAAAACCGCAATTTAATTAAAAAAAAAGAGTTTATTTGCTTTAAAATAATATCAATAAAAAAAATTGTACATTTTTATTTATAAAATCCCAATAAATACGAAAGCCGGCACTACCCAATTAGAATAAGTCTCTCTCGCCCCCTTCTATAAAAAGTCAACGGTCAAAACCATGGCTTCCCCGATGCTCACTGGTCTTCCAACCCCCTTCTCCATTGATCCACCTCTCTCCTTCCGCTCGATAATTACAGTTTCAGTTATGGAATCGCTGCCGGAAAATGCCACCGACGGCTTCGATCGGCTGCCGGACCCGATCATTCTCACAATTTTCAACAATATATCCGACATCAAAACCCTAATCCGATGCCGAGCTGTATCACGCCGGTTCAACTCGCTTGTACCTCAATCGGACTCCCTCCTCCTCCGAGTTGACCGAGTAATCTCCTCAGCTGACTCCGACGACGACGGCGACACCTCTTCCGTCATTGGTTTCATCAAATCCATTGTCAAGTCAATCCAGGACCTAATATCTCCTCCTACAGGTCATACGCTGCAAAGCACTAGCAGTCCTCATCAATCGCAGAACTCTCCGGCGATGATCCTACGTGGATTTGAGAGGATTAAAGAGCTTGAGATCGAGTTGCCGACGGGGGATCTGAGGTTGGAGAAACGAGCGGGGATCAAGTGGAAGGCGGAGTTTGGGAAGACGTTGAAGAGCTGCGTGATCCTAGGGTTTCGTTGTGTTGGAGTAGGGGAATCGGATCTCGGCGGTGGTGGTGGTTTGAAGACGAGGGTCGTGTGGACGATAAGCGCGTTGATTGCGGCTTCAGCGAGGCATTACATGGTGAAGGAAATTGTCAAAGAAAACGTGCACCTGTCGAAGTTGATAGTCAAAGATAGAGAAGGTGAAGGAACGGTAGTTATGAATGAATCAGGGATTAAAGAGTTTAGGGAAGATAAAGCAGAAAATCAAGATGAGGAAGAAGGGCAACATGGTAACGTAAATGGTGGTGGCGTCTGGTGGAGGAGTAATCGGACAAGGGTGCCGGCGGTGTGGATGAGAATGAGGCATGAGGCAAAATTGGAGCTATCCAACGGTGTAACAATGGAAGGTGCGACGTTGGTGGTGGTGAGACCTACTTCAAATGCCATTGGGGTGGCGGGTGCCACCGCAGAGGAAGCTGAGGAGGAGCAGAGGTGGGATGAAGGATTGGTGGCTGCCGGTAGAGGATTTGATGGAATGTACGGGGAGGCCGTGGAGAAACTGATCAAACGACGGAGTTATCTCCTTGAAATGAATTCCTTTTAATTCCAGCGGTCAGTTTCTCAGTTTCCTTAGTATTTCTTGTTCTTCAATTTCTCCTAATGTTTCTTCTATTATGCATATAGAGTTAATCCTTTTTGGTTTTCTTATGCTGCTAATGTAAATTAATAAATTCTTGCTGATAGAATCAATGAATTGTATGCTTCAGATTAATAGTTCATTGTGCATTTTGCATCATTTGGTACAAATACGAATGTTTCTTGCCTTGGTAGGACACATTTGATAAGGGATATTGGGTTTGGTATAGGGGTAGACACTACAACGTGGTCAGGACACATTGGAAATACTTGTGATACCAAAGAAAGAAACTATCCATAGACTTGGATGATAGAGCCAAATGCAACCAATGCCATGCAACCAAACCAAATGAACCCAGTAAATCCTACACATAGTAGGGTATATCACTTGCTTTGTGTCGATATACATGATAATCAATCATCAATGTGCTTACGTTTCTTGGATTTTTGCCTCATAATAAAGACCAAACCTTATTTTAGAGCTATTCCAACATAAGATTAAGACCACAACTGTCATCACATTAGGTGGCCATCACTTCGGAACGATGAGTTGCCCAAAAGAATACAATGTGAATGAATAGAGTTTTGTGCAAGAATACAATGTGAATGAATGGAATTTTGTGCATATTGTAGATATCAACTGTATGCAACAATCACCATCTATGTGAATACAAGTTTGCAAATGAGCTTCTTGTGGATGGACTTACCCAAAAAGTGAGAGATTCTTGATGATGCGGGTTGGGGTGGGGGGGTCGGGTGGGTGGGATCAAATATGTGTGGGAAGAATCCAAAGGAAATGCCAGATTTGCTACTAGTGGTAGTGAATGGATATGATTGGGATAGATTGATATAAATATATGTATATATACACGCATCCTTTTCTGCATTGTTTGTAGCTGGCCATGGGGCTTCTATAGCCCACCAGTGTGCAGTGGCTTAATAAGAGTATATCCTTAGCTTTTGGATTTATTTGCATCTTAGGTGCTTCTGTTGTGTTCCCCTCTTACTTGTTTCCATTATTGAAAACGAATAATATTTATAATCATTGTATTTGATATCCACGTGTTAACCCACATTATACTTAATAATGTAGGAAAAAAGGTTATCGTCGACACAAAAAGAATAAAAGTTAATGTTTATTCTTCGTCCATATATCTAATGTGACACCATTGTTAGTCATCCGGGCTAGATAGGTAAAAGACTCCGATATTATCTATCATTTTTCGTAAGAGAATAGTAGCATCTGTAGATATAAGCAAGAAATTAGTTTGTTATTAGATATGAATATTGTGTTTCTAAGTTTTAGTTTCCTTGTATTATTGTGGATTATTGGTGAGAGAATGATCATGTGATGTGATGGTATTTCATTCTAAAAGTTGTGTCCTTTTGGTTTTTTGCACTCCTTTAGGGCCAACATAGCTGGCTAAATTGCATTATGCAAATCAATCAATTACATCAAGAATTATTATTCACTTCTTTTACCAAAAAGTTGTCCACGCACCATCACCTCTATATCACTCTCTGCTCTTTGGAGCCATATATGTTAGTGTGCTGTAAGGCTATTGGGAATTTTTCCGATTGTTCTTGGACCCTTAAGATTAACTCACGTGTGTGTAAGTCGACTTGTACACCCATGGATAACAAAAGCAAAAGATTTGAAACTTATTGGGTGAACGTTGTGCATGGACCTTGCGAATATCATAAATGTAGCTACAAATAAATGTAAAGTGAGCTAGTAACTGGTTTGGAGATGTAACATAGATGCTTACAAGCAGTGTGAAAACTTATACGTGTCTTCAAGATTGGTTTTGAGTTTCGACCTTAATGGAAAAGGGGGGCGCTGGCTGCAAGACGTTTGACTTTCATGGTTCAAAAATAGCATCTAGAATTCGTATTTTACTTTAGTTATTTGTCATGATTATTCTTAGTAACGTCTAATGTTTTCATTTAATTCTTTTAACATTACATGTGCACGTTTAACATTCATCACATATGCACTCGATGGAATGTTGTTTTTGTTATGTTCAAAATGAGACCCCCTATTTGTCATCTAAATCAAAATTAATGTTCATGAAACTGCTGCAAATTCTCAAGTGCTTTAAATGTTAGCATAAATCATAAAGATATTCTTTTAGACATGCCTAACACACATAAGAATCTAAAACGTATTAAATAATTGACACTAGACTATCCATTGGGATTATTTATATGTGAGTTGTTATCGTTTTGAGTAAACTATGTTTTTTGTTCACATGGTTTGTTGAAATTGATATTTTTGTTACCGTGCTTTAGAAATTATGATTGTCGTTATTTTCGTCCTTCAAACTTAACAATAATTAAGTAAAACACTCATGGATGGGATGAAAATATTGATGAATTGCAAGCTTTAGAGATGAAAACTGTAGTTCTTAAAGCATAGGAATCGAAAGACGTAAAATTTAAAAAACCATACGGACGAAAATTATAGTATAGTTATTTTTGTTGCAATCGTGACATCCAACATTCTATTCACTAGATCATTGCAAGTTACATAAGAAAACAATTCTGCTCGACAAAACCTCTTTGTTGAACTTGCAGCAACGTAAGCATTTGTGATAGTCATGTAAAACTGTGAATTTAACCGTATAAAAATCCTGTTATGATACTAGTGAATCTTTGTAATTATTATCAACATATAGGATTTACATTCTCACTTCACCTCCTCTCCTATTTTCGTATCGGATAATTATCTTGCATTTAAATTAAACTTCTTGAAAAGGTTACACACAAGTCCACATCTTTCAAATAATAACACATTAACCCCTCCACTTCCACTTCCAATTAATGACATTTAACTCCCTCCTTGAAACCATCTTTACGATTTGCCCCCTATTTTGTGGTTGCATTTTTAACACAAAATTATTAGAAAGAAAGCAAGTTTAAGACATGCATAGACTTTTCAAAAAACTCATGCTTTGATGATAATAAAGAAATATTCGAGGCTTGCACAAAAACTATGAACACTTGCATAACTAATTCCTTCGTATTAAACATAGGGGTTATATGACGCTAATCGAGTTCGAGTGTTAATATATTCGATTCGAACTCGATAGCCATTTTTCAAGCTCGAACTTAACTCAAAAACTCGCAAGTAGTTAAAAACTAAACTCGACTTGAACTCAATTGCAATTCTTTAAACTTGAACTCAAATTCGAACTTGTTTGAAGCTCAAATCAAACTCGAACTCCTACTCAAATCAAGCTCACCTATTGAAATTTATGAAATTTTAAGGTCTTTTCTTATAAATAATTATAAACTTTAAAGGTGTTCTCTTAAATTTTAAAAAACTAACGGGATGCATTTCAAACTTCATCATAAAAAAGACAAAGTTATAAACTTTATTCATATTCCTCTTTTTTTATAACAACTGTTCATCATTCTTTTACTATATTTCTTCCAATGTAAGACAATTTCACCAACATTTTTATAGAGTTTTTTGTCTTTTTTAATTATGATTTTAATAAAAAAAATTATTGATACAATTATAGTTAAAAATGCACAACATTGTTCTAATATCTAAAAATATATAAGACATTTTTATTACACTATATTATACATATTATTTTATAAAACTGATTATATAAAAAAATCGAGTATCTCGTGAGTTTTTCGATTCGAGTATTGGGTAGCTCAACTCGACTCGTTAATATGTCAAGTCGAGTGTTGACCAAGTCGATCTTAAGTAGCTCACGAGTTGTCTCGTATCATCTAAACCCCCTAGTTATGCAAGCAAAGCATCTTGGGTTATCTAAAATTATAATCACATTAAGCATAGGAGATGCACAAGGCTCGAGTTTTAAATACCCCATTTTTTAGTGAGCAACAAATGAAAAAGGATTTGATCGGACTTTTTCATGAGTTTTTTAAGGTCGGGCTTTTTCAGAGTTGCCAATATTTCGGCCTAACCGGGCTACGGGCTCACTAGGTCCGACTTTTTTAGACTGGGCTTTAGACTTGAGTTTTTCTAAACATTTTTTTACCCAGATATCATCCTGAATAATCATCATGATAACACATGTAAGCAAAGCATCTTCCATACAGTAAAAGTTTGAACAAAGTTAAATAATTTTTAAAAAATATACAGAATGAAAATAATTTTTTTTTTGTTGAAATCTGAAATTGTGGAAGAAGCATTTTCTGAAAGAAAAACTTTAAGAGTTGAAATTTATATATTGAATAATGATCCTAATATAGGGATAGGGGTTTCAAATTCTTTATACTGATTTGTAAATGTCTAACTTAGGGGCTGATTACCTAAATGCTTATCCGGTAAGTGCTTACCGTTAGATACCAACACTATAATTTATTTTTTGGGTAAGATTGTAGTATATCAAAATGGTATCGTATGCAACAATATATCTGTTATCTGGATAAGAGTCGTCACCCTCACTTACCGGATAAGACTCTCTATCCTTATTATCGATCTTACCAGGTAAGATTTTTGGGTCTTGTCATGTTCATCCGGTGAGGAAAATTGCCCGATAAGCACCTACCGGGTAAGCTTTTAGTAAACAGCCCCTTAGTGATGGTATGTCTGTTTGTGCATAGAGAGTTGTACATATGTTGGGATAAATTATCTCATAAGTTGTAACCAGAGGCTTAGCATTTTCAATACTTTCTAGTTTCACTTGTACATTAAATATGTAGTCTTATCCTTTTGATTCAACATAATCAGAAAAAGTGTTTGAATGTATTTTTTTTAGTTTTTAGGGTAATGCATGTGTTAATTGTTTGAATGTATCTTTACACTTCTAATTGTTGATTGTTTTATTGTATCTATTTTGGGTTGAGTTGGGTTTAAGATTTCCAAACCATAATCATTGGGTTGTATCATTGATTTGTTTTCAACCCGGTCAATCTAACCCGTGTTCACCCCTAGTCTGATACCATCGTTGGACAACCTATATGAGATTGAATATGTGATCGCTTTTTAGGATTCTTGTCGGTTTTACATTTCGTAAACACAAATGCAATCACAAACATAGAAAGACTTTAATCACAATCTCGTTTGGTTTGTAGGATTGGACAAGATTTGGAATTCAATTCTATTCCTGTCCCATGTTTGGTTTGAAAGATTGCATGGATATGAAATCCCGA